CAGGAGCCTGGCAACATTATGAACAGCCTCCTGAGAACCGACATCACGGTCAGGGCTGCTGATTACAGGTACAATCCAGGCCGAACCTCTGTTGAATATGCCCAAGGGTATCAAGTACCGTATGAGAGGTGGGTTAGAAACGCTGATGGTACCTGGCTTGACTTAGTGCCTCAAACACCAGATCAATCCATTTATCTTCACCAACATACCTGGCAGAGAACACAGAACGAGCTGTTCCTTTATGGATACACTTTCAGAATGGGATTCTGAGCACTAGCCGATCAACGGCAAGAACAGTCTCCTCGTAGCGGCATTTTGAGAACCTCATGAGCCGTTATTCTGGCCAACAGTAGCATCTTCATTTGTCTGCGGACACGGTTCACTGCAGAGCATAAGCTGAGCGCTTCTTATGCGAGTTTAAAGATTTTGCTGCATGTTACGTTAGCTTGATCCAAAGGGGCTCCAGGGATGGTTTCTATAGAGGGTGGACGGGGCATGACGTAAACATAAACTATATCTAGGCGTAAGTAAAAACATATGTGAAACATAAACGAAACATATGTGGAACGCAAACGAAACATAAATGGAATATAATTGAAACATAAGTGACACATAAAGCAAAACATGTGTGTGAAATTTGCAACATATGTGAAACATGAGTTGGCCGTCCCCCCTGTGTCAAGCAGTTGCCAATTTGAAATCCAAACCTGGTACAAACCTGCAGCCAATGTGAAACTGATGTCTCCCACATGTTTCACATATGTCTGACATACGTTTTGTTTGCGCAGCACTTGCGTCAGGCAAAAGTCTAAGATCTTATTCTGGGAAAATAAGATCTTAGGATTTTGACATACATAAAAAAAAACACAAGCGAAACACAAACAAAACACAAACACAACATAAATTTGCGTATGGCCTTATTTTTATGTTTTTTTGTGTTTTTTTAATGCTTGTTTGCACAAAAAAAACACAAAAACAAATAAAAATAAGGCCTTACGCAAATAATTGACACAAAAAACACAAACAAAACATAAACCAAAACATAAACAGAACACAAAAAAACACATAAACAAATTTATGCTACATTTGTGTTTTGTTTATGTTTTGTTTGTGTTTCGCTTGTATTTTTTTTATGTATGTCAAAATCCTAAGATCTTATTTTCCCAGAATAAGATCTTAGACTTTTGCCTGACGCAAGTGCTGCGCAAACAAAACGTATGTCAAACACAAGTGAAACACAGAGCAAACATTGTGTCACATAACTCCGCTCACCTCCAGAGAAGATGGAAAAACGTGCGCGACAGTTGGGACACATGACTGCCAGAATGGTTTGTGGATTCATTTGTGTTTTGTTGATGAGTCGTTTTATGTTTTATTGTGGATTCACTTGCATTCTGTTTATGATGAGTTTCCGATGTGTTTATGATTCACTTGTGTTTGCTTTTATGTTGCGTTTACATTGTTTTATGTTGGTTCTTTACGTCTTTGGTTTATGTAAGGCTCTTAGCCTCAGATCGTTGACGAAGCCCTTTGGGTTTACCTAAATGTTACGACGCGAAGAAAATTTGTGTCTGTTTTGTAACCTACTTTTGGGGACGTGTGTGCACAATGCATTCTTTGCAGTTTGCATCGCATGTGACATTCATACATGTACCACTGCACCTCTCCGTGGCTCAAGACTTGCTAGGATAGCTATAAAAAGGAGCGCTCCGCGCCGCCGGTTGACCACAAGTGTTGCAACTCTTTAGTTGGGATCTAGGGCCCCCTGAATACCGGGGATTGCTACTTCACCCCCCACACCTAAACCCCTAAACCCTCCCCACACTCTCCACCCCACCCCAAACCCTACAGGCCGTAGCGCGCGCGCGTATCTTTTTTCACCACGCAGACGGCTGGGACCGCACACAAAAACAGAGGTACGTGTCAAGCACGGATATGAGCAGCAACAGCAACAGCAACAGCAACAACAACAACAACAACAACAACAAACATGTACGTGTGTTGATGGACGCTGAGCCGCTCTGAGCAAAAAGAAGAATCCCGCGTGCTGTGATGCGAATCAGGTCACGGGAGGCGCAGGTGATATTCTGATTGAGGCGTAAGTGATGTACGGAGGCGTAGGTGATGTGGAGGCGCAAGTGATGAAATTGTGGAGGCGCAAGTGGTGTCTTAGCCGGAGGGAATTACTGGGTCAAATTGTATGCGTTTCGAAAATGATAAGATGTTCGGTTAAGTCAAGGACATTCACACGGAATATCAGACTCCTTGAATTGGTTGCCACAATGGCTGGACGCCATCCACTTTCTCCCATCGCTATTAACAGAAACGATCGAATGTGGATACTCCCCCTCCTTTTACCGTAGTGCAAAAAAATATTTTTTCTTCCACGTTAACTAAAGTGACAATTCAGAGGTTTACTTCCATGTTAGTTGCAATGGGGGGGTAAACTGCAAATTTGTGTTCTTTGGATCTGAGCCCTGTTTTTTTTTGGGCTAGTTCTTTTTGCCACGAGTTCCCCGGGAATCCTGGGCATTTGTTGATTAACGGATTAACGTAGAAATTTTGTTTTTTTCAAGATAAAGCTGGGAATGCCTCCATTTTTTAACAACCAACGATTGGAACGGATAACTTACATAGAAATTTGCTACTTGAAGTAGGTGGATGCAACCAAAAAAGAAACAGTGTTGTGTTTTGACACTTCCATGATAAGCACCAATTTGGCACCATTGATTTCGAAAGGTTGCGTCCTCAATCGCTCGGACATGACAGGGGTGAGAAGATAGATGCAAAGAAGAAAAAAATGATGTGCAAAAAAAAAAACTTCCACGTTAACTAAAGTGACAATTCGGAGGTTTACTTCCATGTTAGTTGCAATGGGGGGGGTAAACTGCAAATTTGTGTTCTTTGGATCTGAGCCCTTTTTTTTGGGCTAGTTCTTTTTGCCACGAGTTCCCCGGGAATCCTGGGCATTTGTTGATTAACGGATTAACGTAGAAATTTTGATTTCAACAAGATAAAGCTGGGAATGCCTCCATTTTTTAACAACCAACGATTGGAACGGATAACTTACATAGAAATATGCTACTTGAAGTAGGTGGATGCAACCAAAAAAGAAACAGTGTTGTGTTTTGACACTTCCATGATAAGCACCAATTTGGCACCATTGATTTCGAAAGGTTGCATCCTCAATCGCTCGGACATGACAGGGGTGAGAAGATAGATGCAAAGAAGAAAAAAATGATGTGCAAAAAAAAAAACTTCCACGTTAACTAAAGTGACAATTCGGAGGTTTACTTCCATGTTAGTTGCAATGGGGGGGGTAAACTGCAAATTTGTGTTCTTTGGATCTGAGCCCTTTTTTTGGGGGGCTAGTTCTTTTTGCCACGAGTTCCCCGGGAATCCTGGGCATTTGTTGATTAACGTAGAAATTTTGAATTTTTCAAGATAAAGCTGGGAATGCCTCCATTTTTTAACAACCAACGATTGGAACGGACAACTTACATAGAAATTTGCTACTTGAAGTAGGTGGATGCAACCAAAAAAGAAACAGTGTTGTGTTTTGACACTTCCATGATAAGCACCAATTTGGCACCATTGATTTCGAAAGATTGCATCCTCAATCGCTCGGACATGACAGGGGTGAGAAGATAGATGCAAAGAAGACAAAAATGATGTGCAAAAAAATAATATATTTTTTTCTTCCGCGTTAACTAAAGTGACAATTCGGAGGTTTACTTCCATGTTAGTTGCAATGGGGGGGTAAACTGCAAATTTGTGTTCTTTGGATCTGAGCCCTGTTTTTTTTTGGCTAGTACTTTTTGCCACGAGTTCCCCGGGAATCCTGGGCATTTGTTGATTAACGGATTAACGTAGAAATTTTGTTTTTTTCAAGATAAAGCTGGGAATGCCTCCATTTTTTAACAACCAACGATTGGAACGGATAACTTACATAGAAATTTGCTACTTGAAGTAGGTGGATGCAACCAAAAAAGAAACAGTGTTGTGTTTTGACACTTCCATGATAAGCACCAATTTGGCACCATTGATTTCGAAAGGTTGCGTCCTCAATCGCTCGGACATGACAGGGGTGAGAAGATAGATGCAAAGAAGACAAAAATGATGTGCAAAAAAAAATCTTCCACGTTAACTAAAGTGACAATTCGGAGGTTTACTTCCATTTTAGTTGCAATGGGGGGGGTAAACTGCAAATTTGTGTTCTTTGGATCTGAGCCTTTTTTCTTTTGGCTAGTTCTTTTTGCCACGAGTTCCCCGGGAGTCCTGGGCATTTGTTGATTAACGGATTAACGTAGAAATTTTGATTTTTTCAAGATAAAGCTGGGAATGCCTCCATTTTTAAACAACCAACGATTGGAACGGATAACTTGCATAGAAATTTGCTACTTGAAGTAGGTGGATGCAACCAAAAAAGAAACAGTGTTGTGTTTTGACACTTCCATGATAAGCACCAATTTGGCACCATTGATTTCGAAAGGTTGCATCCTCAATCGCTCGGACATGACAGGGGTGAGAAGATAGATGCAAAGAAGGAAAAAATGACGTGGCGGTCAGTCGGGGGGTTTTAGGGATCGCCCCAGGAGGATGTATTCAACATGAGGGGAGAACATGTTAACATAGAAGTTGCCAACCTGATGTCTGGACCCTCAAGTTACTTCCACGTAAGGGTTTTTAGTCTCAGTTTTCACACTTCCATGATGAATATGTTACTGACATATCTGATGAGCTACTTCTATGTAAGAGATTCACGGTCAGTTTTTCTGCATTTGCTGGCCCGGTAGCCCAGTTTCACTTTTTCCCCAGGAATTGGACGTAAACGACTTCCATGTAAACCGACAAGTTTTTCCATCCTGACTTCCACCATAAAAGGAACCGGTGTACTGTCATTGCGTCCTATCTTTTTGATAATGTATATAATCCCCATGTTCATTGGTTGCTTGTGTACTGATCCTTGGTGCTCCCCACATTTCTTTGCCAGCTTTGAGGAACGGCCCTTTTGGCGGAGGAAAGACCAGCTAGACAATTGGACAAGAGTCGACAAGAGTCGACAAGAGGCGTTGTCTGCGGGTACCTCCCTTTTCCTAGTTGCAGATGTGCGTCAAGCCAGGATGACCTGGGCACACTGTTTCTAACCATCTGCAAGGAATGCCTTCAGGTTCCAAGTCATTCAAAAGCAGATCATTATGTTCTTTTGACGTGGTTTTCCAGTGTTTTCCTCTCTTGTGCTTCAATTGACGTTCTCTCAGAGTACATAGCGCATCTGCCAAATCCAACTTTCATGGCCTGCCATGACTGCCATGACACGATGTCACCTGACGTTCATTCCTTGGTCCGCCCGGAGTCACTAGACCAGACCTCAGCGGATTGAGGAATCGAGCCGTTCAGTGGTTTTCCCCTTGCTACCCCCCGATGTGACTGCTAGAGGAGCATCGACGAAAATCCTTTGCAAGACAAGCCACTCGCTTCAAAGCAAGGATGAGCTAGTCTCTGTCATTTTCTGTCAGATCTTTTCCGACAGAAGTATTTTCAACCATATTGATTTCTGTATTCTTTTCATAGATTCAAATTCCTCACAAAATTGAGTTTGATCGGCATGCAGCTAAGTACCACACCTTGTGCGTAGGCTCACTGCAACGCCGCATGCCTAACAGCCAGCGCGCATCATGTTCTATCAACAACCTGTTGCCCTGTTGCATTGAACTCAAACTCAAAACCAGATCAAGTAGCTTTCAAAGGTGGCCCGAGAAAGAGACAGAGGGATATATATATATATATGTATACATAAAGGGAGGGAGAGGGAGAGAGAGAGAGAGAGTTAAAGCACCCAGCTATTTCAAGGCTAAAGTCCAAACAAAGTTTTTGTGTATTGATATGTCTATAGCATCTACTTTGTAGTTGTTGAAGTTGCGGCTCACATATCCCACATCTTCGACGGATCTTTGATCTTTGGGCATGTGCGGCATGAACTCATGCCCATCCTTCTATGGGGATGGACGCTATCCTGGCGATGGCGGAGCCGCGCTGGAAGAGCTGTGGCAGCTGCTCCCATGGCGGGAAATCTGCAACTGCCCAGGCGATCATAAGCGATCAGCGATTATGATCTCCCGGAGATGAGACAGCTTGGGCACAGCTTGGGCAGCCTGGAAACGGTTTGAAAGCAGAGGTGGAATTCAAAAAGGTGTTTGGATGATTTTGGAAGATCATTTTTACAAATTTCAGGACGACCACCTGAATATATCACTTGCAGCGAGATCCTGGAAGTTGGAGCTTTGTACCAACTGCAGTAACTCCATGTGGACCTACCAACTTCCCGTCACGGTTGATTCTTTAGAGACCCATGCAGCACAGCTGACTTCGCTCATGGCAAGATCGCCTGCAGGCCGCTACACAACTTCAGACCGAGAGGCAGGACGGAGGCAGCTGATGTAGGTGCATTTGCTGGACATTACAGGGTAAATATATTCGTCCAGAAAGGTCCAGAATGACAGATTCCAAAGACCTTTCCTCAGAGATTATTTCATGGCGTGGCAATCACATCAAAGTTGATTGATCGAAAGAAAACATTCTAAAACATTCTTAGGTGCACTCCATGGCTTGAGATCAGGATGTTTGGGTTATATCATTGCTGGTTAAATCTCATATCCCCTTTCACTTATATACTCCGTGTTTCACTCAATCATAGACTCCATTTCATTTGTTGCTCGTTTCTGATGTAGATATTTGCATCCGTGCCAAGGTCTAGATTCCTTTGGTCCAATTTTCGTCCAAGTTTTTTTGGGTGTACGCATGATCACCAGTGTGTGTGTGTGTGTGTGGAACATCTGAAAAGATGTAAAACTTCTAATTTGCTTGTTTCGTGTTTTTTGTGAACTTCGTTTTGGTATCAGTTATCAACTTGTCACAGCAGGGGGGCAGTGCACGACTGACAGACACTGCCCAACGAAGACACTGTCAGTTCGTGGTGATACAGAGCCTGATCAGCTCTGCGTACCTGCATCAATTTATCATTTCCCTGAATGGCAACCGGCTAAGCCCAGAACCGGCATGTCGCTTTTCAAAATGTTTTTCAAACCAAACAACTGTACGGTTTTCGCAATCTGCCTGAGCTGCATCAGAACCAACAGATCCTTCGAGCAAGGACGTAGAAAGTTTTCCTTCGCACAGTTTCTCATTTCTAATCACCCAAATCGTTTCTGTCAGGTTTAACTGAAGTGTTTTTGCACGTGCGGTGCATTCCACATCAGTAATTCGATAAGATGTTTCTGAGCAAGTGTGTCTCTCCTGCTGCATACGTCAAGTTGGCAGGAACCCTTCGGGGAAAGCCTTTCTAGGCTAACAATGGACAGTAAAACGATGTCTGAATTTACACTTTTGAAGTAGTAATTCGTCTAAGTAAAGTGAACTGTTGGCCTTTTTTCGATTCTCACCTGTCGATGTCGATGTGTTGAAACTGCTGCCCGCTGTACCAGGGTCTCACCGTTTCTGAGCCTTCTTCTTGCATAGATGGAAGCCGCGACAACATCCTCCTTTTCCAGTGAAGCTCAAGCGCATACTCGCAGCCATTTACATTGAAACAGGCAACAGGACATGCTTTACAGGTGTGGTCACTTTCTTTTTTGGTTTCTTGGTGAGGTTGAAATTGTGCACCTAATTCAGGGGTTGAACACGTAAGCCGTCCAGAGGGTTGTGACTTGAATGCCGAGGGCCTTCTTTGAGCCTTATCACGAATTCTGCATGCGTTGTGGATGCATCATTTTATGAACTGCTGGTTTTGGATTTTTACTAAACCTGACTCTTCCTGCCATGTTTCCTGGTCGCTGGCCTAATTATCCGGAGTCCATGTGGAACTACGGCTGGTCAGCTCCATCTTTTTCGTCACCTCGACCAGCAGTACCTCCTGGACAATTTTGTGGAAGTGATATGATGAGCCAGCAGTCACAAGCTCAGTCCCAAGCTCAGACTCAGGCGCAACTTGCTCATCTCAGGGAGCAAAACTCCATTTTGAATCAACAACTTGCGTCACAAGCTCAAACCCATATCCAGCATCTCCAACAACTTCTTCCATTCCACCAATCCTTATCCATTCCACATCCACCTCAGTCTACACCACCAGCACCGGAACCACCAACACCGGTGGCACCTCAATCCACACCACCTGGATCCTTCAATGCAGAGGAGATGATGCAGCAGATGAAGAGCACGGTAGAATCCAGCATGCAGGCTTTCGTGGACAAGAACCAAGAGCGCAACAAGAGTCATCCTCCAACTCCTGTACAACCACCAACTCCAGTCTCTCCACCAATTCCAAGCCATCCTCTCCCATCAGATGAAGCTCTACCACCACCACAACGTTCCCATCGTCGCTCTCGCTCTCGCTCTCATCGGCATCGTTCAGTACCGGACAAACGTCCAACCTCTGGCCCACGAAGTCCGCGTCGAGCAAAACTCCCAGACGAACACATCGTTCGTCTCGGCCACGCTCGTCACGCAGGAGACGACGTTCCACGTCGAGAAACTTCTCGAGACGTCCAAGCAGAGCTGCCTCGGTCACATTACTGTCAGCCTCTTCACAGACCAGCCACTCTCCACCCTGCAACGTGGGAACACCAACAATACCATCAACATCCATCTTCCCACACTGACTATTCCCAGTCCGACTACCAATCCTACGATCAACCTTCCACGAACAAGTGGAAATCCTGTGGCCAGTGGAAGGATTACTCCAAGACTCCCTATCAAGCCCACCCATCGGGTTGGATTGACTACCCCAAATCTTCATCCAGACATCAAAGCCAGTATGACCCTTCCACCAAACCACTCACTGCATTCTCCTCCGACCACACCTCCAACCGCTCCCGCCAACATCCACACAGATCAGGCTCAGTCCAATCTCGTGTCTCCACTACCGTCCCTCCAGGACATGTTGCCATCAACCTCCAAGACGGCTCGAGAGACGAATGGGCTCGTCATATCGAACATGCCTTGAATCATCCAGACAGGATGCGTGCAGCCAATGAACTCACAGCTGCCGAACGTCCCCAGCCGACCACCTCCATCGAGCAAGAAGAGTACGATGCGGCCGTTGAACAACTTCATCAAGTTGATCATAGAATCCCAGGTGATGTGCTCAAGAAAGCGGTCCAACTCTTCTTCAGCACCAACCTTCTCCCGGACTACGATCTTTCCACCTGCCATGTCCGTGAACTTCCCCACACCAATATGCTTGCACTCGTCATGCCGTTACCAGACATCAGTCGATTCCAGATGCCACCTCCCTTTGGCAACCAACACAATCACACCTGGGCACTTTGTCATGGAACGACAATCCACACCTCTCAACAAATACTCTTGGAAGGCAAGATCAGACCTGCAAACTGGTCTTAAAGCCAACTGGCACAACTGCGCCAGCAACCTGGAGACACAACGGGTGAACCATCCACCCCGGGCACGACGGGTCCCTCAGCCTCAAGTCCTGCTTCAGCACCCATCCATGCAGCTCTCCTGCGGAATTCTCAAAGTCCAGCACCTCCAGCACCACCTGGCTTCGATCCTTCCTCTTTGCTTGTCGCCACCACCACCATCAATCCGTGGCTTGCTCAAAACATGCCACCAGCTCTTGCAGTACGAGCCTTCAACAAATGGCTGAAAGAACTTAACTTATCGGAACCAAAGAGGAAGGTTCTCATGGACAATATTGCCAAAACAGAGGAATGGTGGGCAAATCAGCCGGCAGAAGCTTTGGACACAGTCGAACGAGTGGCCGTCATGATGGGCATCCCTGTCAACCTCATGGGAAAGAACTATGATGCACTGAACCTCCTCCGAGCCATGACAGCAGGCATCAGTCTTGCCAATTGACTAGCACCTCTCTTTCGTCGAAAACTCAAGCACAAGGTGCTTCAATCCCATTTGCACATTCTTCATTCGATGATTCTCGTCATTTACATTTTGACTCCCTTCACCATGACTCACAGCATCCACCTTTTTCAGGGCTTCCGCATCATCCAAACACGTATGATGGTGTTGGCAATCCTCCACGGTCTTCGACCCAATCCTAAGCTGAAGTCAATTTTGGAAGGGTGTGCTGATCTCCAACACCTGTGGGGTACCACTCTACACTCCCACAACCTTTTTTCCAGACAATTTTTCCAGCCTCAGAGCGTCTACATCCGTTTCACCCATATCACCAACATGCAACCCAAATTCTATTTGGGTTCTGCAATGCACCATACTCTCGACAGAGAGTACAGCCGCTCCAGAAAATACCTCCAACTCACGAACGAGAGACTTGTCCAAGCCGAACTGGCACTTCGCTATTGGCATGACCATGACAATCTGTACATTTGGGCTCCGATCCCAATCTACACAGACAGAGTCGACTATCGCAGCCTCGAAATGGCCCTCATTCAAGAATGGCAACCTCGACTCAACTATCCCTTCATTTGCCAATTTTTCCATCCAAAGAAGGGTCTTCTCAAAAAACCCTTTCTGAATACGAATGCACAGTTTGGCCTTGCCACCCTCTGGCGTCGTGCCAAACACAAATTCACTCCACAACTGGTTCGTCAAGTCTTGACGTCATCACGGTTCCAAAACCGTCTAGAACTCTGGACCATCATCCATGCCTTAGGATCAAATACCAAGGCGAGGTTCGAACAAACGAAGATGCTGCGATCCCACGATGGGGGTCTCACTCTTTGCTATGCTCTTCGTCGGCTGGCAAACAACACCCAAGAGCCCTTTCGAACGCTGTCCTTGAACGCCATCGATGCCTCAATCAAATGGTGGCATGGAAAACCGGCCCCAAGGGCATCTGCCTTACGGGCACCATGGTCACTTTCCCCAAATCTTCAACCACAATTGGCCACCAAGTACCTTGCCACACTCCATCCTTCAAGATGTTTTCATCAAGCACGCTGCCGTCCTCGACATACTTTGCAATCACAAGCAGGCCATCGAGGACTGGTCGACTTCCAATCCAGCGATCTGTTGTTGCAAATCCTGGTCGCCTTACAAAAGCGCCGCACTCAATCCTTCAGATCCACACTGGGTTCTGTCAGGCTCCCTTCTCCATTCCTTACTTCCACCGGAACTTGCAGTGATCGCAGAAGGTTCCTTGTCCAACAAAGTCTTCCCATCGAAGAAGGAATACCACAACCAGATGCGACTTGGTTTCAAGACCTGGACGAAGCGAAATGGCTTACCTTCCATGCCACAGACAAACATCTCGGACCTCTGCCACCACCTCTGGTCCGAACATACTCAACAGATCACCAACCACATCACGAAGTCCTCCATCAATCAACTTCAGTCCACGTTCGACGGCGCCATCTTCCATTGTGAGGACAAACATGCCTCTTCAGTCCGTGTCTTTACTACCAATCCATCGAAAACACCTTTCAAGA